CCCGCCCTCGCTTCGCTTCGGTGTAGAGCTGAAGCGTAGACTACAGTTTTTGTTCTCAGGCTTGTTTTATACACAATGACATTCATCTATGATTATTCTTATACCTGCATGCAAAGTCTCAGCCCGTTCGGTTTTAAAATTGACAAAGTTTCATACAAACTTTCATTCCCTATTTTATCTCCTTGGGGGTAGAATTGATCAAAATCCTTTCTTAGCGGATGCCTACGTTATAACATCTACCTGCATGCCAAATTTCAGCCCGATCCGTCCAGTGGTTTGGGCTGGGCGTTGATAGATTACTACGTCAGTCAGTCACCTTTGAGTTTTATATATATAGATTATAAAAAAACTGAAGATGGTATATTTATCTTTTCCAAACTTCTATTGACATCACGTCGCTCAATTGTTTTGCCTTCCCAGAATCTGTCCACTAACATTTGAAATTTATGGTATGGTATTAAAGTTCAAATTGACTTTTAAGTATTATTACGAATCGTTTGTATGGGAGTAAAGAAAAGTTTTGTTTTTTGACATTTCCAGGCATTTTTTTTATTTTTCTCTTCGTAAGAACCATCCTCGTACTTCAAGGAATATTCTAAAAAAAAATCAGCCAAATCGGTCAATCCGTTTTCATGTTATGTCGTGACAACGGAAAACGGGTTTCATTTTTATATATATAGATTAGTGCTTCCTGCGACTTCGTCTGCGTGGTTTCATTGGTTTCCCATTCAAACTTTCACCACCCCTTTTCATTGCCTTTAAAGATGATTTCAGGGATAAAAAATATCGTTCGTCCTTTCCCTAGACTCAAGATATCTAATATATCAAATCTCATTGAAATCGGTTCAGCGGTGAGGTGATTAAGGGTGAGGAGGTTAAGGTCCTCTACGCACTATACACTTGCTGGATCCAGCATGCGGGGCAGCGCTATACACGTAAAAGAGATCCTTTATCTCCACCTCTTTTACATTTATAGCGCTAAGATGGATAGTGCGTAGAGGACATAATAAAAAGATAGACAGACACACTTTCATAATATTAGTTATTATTTATTTAAATAAAATTCGTTTTTGAAGTGAAATCTTCTTTAGCGGCGTTGTACACTTTTTTTGTAATGGGTAAAAACTGTTAAACTCGCGTCATGACACGTGGCCTGTACCCGTAGCACGAACCATTATCGAATTCGAATAGTTTGCAAACTGAAATGTCAATGTCAAATTTTGTATGGAAACTTGAACAGCAGCGCCACAAAAGACGTAACGAGAACTAAAATTCAGTACACATTTGACATTGACATTTCGGACCCGCAAACTATTAGAATTAGATATGCTAGGAGTACAGAAGAACTGAAATTTTGATATTTTATGTAGAATACTTGCCCAAAGCCGAATATTAAGTCAAAAATTCAATTCAATTATTTTTCATGGGGCGTCCCATACATGAAGAAGAGACGAAAATATATTTTTTCTTTTATATTCCACCATGTGACAAATTATTGTCTTTAGCTCGTTGAGTAGAAGATAAATATAATTAAAGGAATAGAGGGCCGTCAAAGTTGTCATTTTTGTTATGGGGTCTATCTCCAAATCGAAATTAGTTAGGAATGTAAAAGTTTGGTTTAAGATGCTGTACTTTAACAACAAATATTAAAAACTCCGACCCGCACTAGGCAGGTTTTTTGTTCTTGTGAGTACTCCAAATCTGACACGCTCGGTTCCCATACATTCCATAAATCAGTACACATTTGACAATGACATTTCGGACTCGAAAACGATACGAATTCGATATTGGTTCGTGCTAGGGGTACTGATCGCATCCGGACACCTGACAATCGAAAATTCGTAATACGAAAACAATAAAATTGGAAAGGTTGTTGTCTTTCAATATATTGGATGAATAATAGTAATATTTTATTTTATCGTATTATAATAATAAGTCTGTATCTAGGACGTTCAGGTGGCAGCTTTATTGCGAAGAAAATGCATTTTTTACAAGCTTTTATTTAACTTGCTATGTATGTTCGTTACGGTCAAATCTTACAACTCAACTTTAAAGCACTTGCCCTCAACCGATTAAGCTGAAATTTGGTATGCTCGTTCAGTTCGGATGACAATGCATGCTTAACCAATCATTTTTAATGCATTCCTACAATATGGGTATCAAATTAAAGGGCTTGCTGAGAGTAACTCGAAAAAAATGTGACGTCACTATCAATCCAATATGGCGGACTTCTAAAATTTGAAAATCTATTTAGAAACAAACTTTAACTAAATTTTCTTTTTTTCTTTTTAGCGCATTTGAATAAAAGCTTGTTTTTAAAAAGGTTTTTGTACCTTAATTTTATTACAATAAATGTCGCTAGGTGCGCTTAAATCAGAAATTCTGAGAGATAAACTTTTTAATTTAATATAAATTTTCATGTTTGTGTACGATAGCGCAATAAATAAATATTGTATTCTACCACATAACTTTTATACTGATAATTAAAGAAATTCGTGCAAAATTATTCCCTAACCATTCCAAAATATCAAAAATGCACAACCTTAAAATTTCAAGTTTTCACTTCTGCCGGCACTCCCAGAGTGCAACCCGTCGTTTTTTTTTTAAGTTTATTTAATGGACGTTCAAATGACACCAGTGTTGGTAGGGGTAAATGCGTGTGTTAATAAGGGTTATAATAACGCTTGAAAGTTATTCTCGTGGAGGTGCGATTTTTTTGACGCTGAGTGTATTAATATGGATAAGATCAAGTATATGTGAATCATTGCACATTGCGGAAAAACCCTAACTACGGAACCTAAAGTTTTCAGAATTTATATCTGGAGTGCAGACAGAACATGATTCGGTTATCTTGGAATAAGTATTTACATCATTTTGATTATGGAAATTTTTATTTATCTACTATTTTCTCATGTCATTGCCCAATCCTCTCATATTTTAAAAGATATTCATATACAGTTCACGTTTATTATACAAGTATTATTTACAAAATAATTATTTCACATACTTAAGTAGGCTTTGTACATAGGTCTTGATCATCAGAAATTCAGAATAATAACTTGTAGAAAAGTGGCATTGTATTTCTATTTTGTTGACTTTAAAGTGTAAATCAAAGCATTTAATATAAAATTACGAAATAAAGCTTATACTATAGCGAATATTTTATTTAATCTTTGGGATTATTCTCAAATTTCTTACTAGTAAGCTTTAAATTATAAGATTTGAAATGTTGTAATTTTACGATTCACAGTTTTTATTGAAAATCGAAATTGACCGTTAACGTTCGATTGAAAACAAAGATGGCCACTTGTCTGCAGGGTTCGTTCTCAATTCGCTACTAAATTCCCTTCTGTAGAATTTTCTTTGTTTAAAACGTTTATCATGAATAACAAAAAAACATTATTCTGTGTAAACATAGGAATTAATAACAAAACTAATTAACGAAAACGTACATTATTATATAAACATATTACGTACTTATTTACGTTTGACTCCTTTGAAAATCACTTGAGCGATATCCCAGCTTACACTTCTAACTTAATTACATTATTGGCAAACAAGGTACTCGCTGGCAATGTATGATTATTACAATGTCTATGAACTACGTTTGTTGTTACATAACGCTGAACTAACACTGATACGGGAAACAAACAAACATAGGTACCTATATAAGTCAATGTTATATATCCCTTGTAAGGAAATACAATATGAAAGGAATGCAAAGCGAATTTTAATATGCACATACTTCTAAAGATAGTTTTACTTGAAAGAATCCTCGTGAACCAGGCAGCAGACGGGACTCGAACCTGCACCTTTCGCTATCCAGGCGAATGCACTGCCCATTATGCAACCGCGGCCTTGCTGGACGTTTCGAATTTTAAGGCTAGAGCCTTAGGCTGCAAGGCAGCGCCATCTCTTCGCATTGTAGGTAACCCACCAAGTCAAATGAATACCTTTACAAGTATTAAACATTTGAAAGAAGATTTAGCAATTATGGTTATCTTTATATATATAATTCTTCTGTGAGTGTGTATGTCACTGAACTTCTCTTAAACGACTGGACCGATTTTGATGAAATGTTTTGTGTGTGTTCAAGGGGATCTGAGAATGGTTTAGATTCACAAAGACGTGTAGACAGGACAACGTCTGTCGGGTCCGCTAGTTCTATATATTTTTTAAGCATTTAACTGCTAGATGTTTATATCTGAAGAAAATTTTACTAACTACTAACTATAAATAATCACCATATCAAACTTGTTGCAAAATTAGAACTTCAAATTCCCCTTACTCATTCATCACATACAGATACAAAACCACTTTGCACTATTAACGAAAGTGTGTTTACATTACTTAAACACTCTAGAGCGAATATTATACGTTGTATCTTGAATTCTTGAAAGATGCTACTGCTCGGAAATGGCTATGAAATTGTCAAACGACCGCCTGGGGAGCGATCCAAATGGCACATCATTACTGAAGTAGTTTAGGGAACAACTTAATGTAAGTACTCCGAATACATCAGGGACAGCATTGCAACATGGTTGGTTATTTAGTGAATTTTTGGATGGAATTCATACGCGAAATACGAAACGTAATTCTTGTGCTTTATTATGGAGAGAAGCGGAAAGGAAAGAAAGAATACGCTATTGCGCTACATGCCAATCTTTTCGTTATTATAATAGTCCACTATCGGATAGGAGTTTCAGAAACTTGTAGGCGAGAAATCTGATTCTGAAAATTAAATTGAATTTAATCAGTATACGAAAGGATACCACTATTGTATGAATACAATTTAATGAATCACCTTATTAAAAATATGTGGAAGTTTAAATAAGTAAAAGTATTTTTTTTACGCAGTGAAAAATACAATTGCCAAACAAATAACCTTATCTTTCAATAGGCAACATTTTTTTTTAAGTTTGTTTAAATATTGCCTAATTAGTTATTAAAATTATGATGATATAGGTAAGTGCTACAACCATTAAATCTTATTGTTGCAGTCAAGAGCTCAGAAGCACTGGGAGCTCATTTACGTCGGTTGGTTCGTGAGGCGGAGTCGAGACTGCATGAAGTAGCTGGGTGCGCGCCAGAGAGGACCTGTCGGGACGACGCGTGCACCAGGTATACAATACACTCCGGAAAACTTCTTAAGGAACGACAGAAGGAAGGAAGGAATAGACAAGGAACTTGCGCTGTAACAATTTCACATACAAAAACGTCTACTGCGCAAGATCATTTTGTCTATGGTATTGCTCAAGACATTTTCCGCTATATACTTATGTACATACACCCCAGCAAACTACTTGACCATCGACCATAAACAAGGGAGCTTGCGCAGTAACAATTTTACATACAAAAACGTCTACTGCACATGTTTATTTGTCTGTGGTTTTGCTTAAGAAGTTTCCCTCTGCCTATATTATTACTGCGATCGAAACTTTATGGCGACTGTGAATTTATCGCAAGTCGCCGCGTACCAAACTAGTTTTCATGCAATTGTGGTTCTTTTATTTTTGAGCATTTGACGGCTAGATTTTTAAATCTGAAGTGTTACTATATTAATAAAAAAATTGAATTTATTCTAAAATAAAGAAATTATAGGCTATTCAAACTCCTTCGTTTCTTTTGCGCCATCCTGTTTAAGCATGAATCAGCATTAATTGTACAGAATGGATACACAAACTCATATAGACGATATATAATATTTTATGCTAGCAATTGAGAACATGGCAGTGACATTTACACTTAAGTACGAACATAAACATAAACTGGATTGCACATAGCTAGTTAACTGGATCATCTATCACACTTGGTGCCCCCGTGAAAAAAACTCGACACACTCAAGTTTTTCACGTACCGTGCTGATGCGAATAAATTATGAAGCTAATGAAAGTCTGTGAAAAGGCTGCCTAGACTGGAACATAATAATAATAAACAGTTTTCTGAAATTTACATCTTCCATTTATACTGACCATTATGCTACCGCCTGATGGCCTTGTCGAATTTTCTCTAGCCTTAGGCTGCAAGGCAGCGCCATCTTTTTGCATTGTAGGTAACCCACAATGACAAATGAATACCTTTTCAAGTATTAAACATTTGAAAAAGAAATTTCAATTATAGTTATACTATATATTTTTGAAGCATTTATCTGCTAGATGTTTAAATCTAAAGATAATTTTACTAACTACTAACTATAAATAATCTCGATATCAAACTTGTTGCGAAATAAGGACATCAAATTCTCCTGAACTTCTAATAAAAGTACCGTGCTGGTGCGAATAAATTACGCAGCTAATGAGTTTTTTTTTCTGTCTGTGAGTCTGTGAGAAAGACTGCCTAGACTAGAACATAATAATAATAAACAGTTTTCGGAAATCGACATATTCCATTTAAACAGAAATGCCTTTAAAATTTCAATCACTGAACTTATTATTGATCTGGCAACTTTTCCTCTAAATGAAAATGCATGTTTATGATAAATAAAGAAATGTTAAACTGCCACACACTTTAGATACTTTGTAAACCTCACAACACAAACATGGCTACGGCTACATGGCGTAAAGATTTAAGAAATTCCACCCCATTTGTTGCCTGAAAACAAGCAGAACATTATAAATAATGGGTCGATAAACATAAAGCTTATAGGTAATCGGTATTACCCATGACATGACACGAGTAGTGTTTATCGAACAAACGTTTGCTCTCAAAAGATTGGAATCTGCTCACTGACATGAATGGATATTTATTTGTCTTTTCTGTATCATTTACTTTTATCTTGTTAGACAGATTTTTTTTTATTATTAATAATATATAGTTACAATGGGAATGACCCTCCTGTGAACTAGTCGACTTTTTCACGCGAAATATCTTTTTGGGTGACTATAAGAGCGGTTGTTGTGTGGCGATGCTAAATGAAAAATAAGCGTACTAATATGAACAGTGAGTTTTAATATGCACCGTAATTTAGTCAGCTCCGTTGATCGAATGCAAGTAAGGTCGGTTTGATCCAAGTTTGATTCTAAGACTTATTTAGTTTAAAGATTTTTAATGACTTGTTAAATTATTTTGTTTTGTAATAAAGTTTCTCAAAGCTAATTGATCATATTGCAGGTCTTCAGCTGGTGGTCAAGCAGCTGCCACAACCGGCTGTGCTGGCGGAGCTGGCTCGGAGAAGGATAAACAAGCCCAACATTGGGAGAGAAGAGTTCGGACTCTCAAGTTAGTATTACCAATAAAATATTTTGATTCCTACGCTAGTTTCGCTTTACTTTACTGAAAGTGCTTTTTGTTGCGAATCTTTTTCTCTTGCAATATCTACACCATTAGTAGAGAGTTTCCTGAGGCAGCGTAGATAGGAATCTCATCATCACAAAAACCTTGAGTTGCAAGACTTGGGCCATCGAAAACTCTATTGGAAAGACAGAAACGAACATAGGGGCAATAGCTGAAACGTGGAAACAATACTGCCAGTCCCTCTTTCAAGACCCACAATCAGAGTGTTACACCCCGACGAAACCCGGAAACGAAGATCTTGAGCCCGATATTCTGAAAGATGAAATACGAGCCGCTATTAAAAATCTGAAGAATGGCAAAGCTACAGGGGCAGATGCCATACCAATCGAGATGATCAAGGCATCGGGCGAACAGGGTGTCCAAATCTTCCACACCCTCTGCAATAGGATATGGCTCACGGGGCAATGGCCGAAAGAATGGGCTCACACTGTGTTTGTCCCCTTGCACAAAAAGGGTTCCACCAAGACGTGTAGTAATTACAGACTTATTGCTCTTATCTCTCACGCAAGCAAGATTTTACTGCACGTACTGAACGAACGTCTAAAGCCCTACTTGAGCAAAGAAATTGCTCCTGAACAGGCTGGTTTCGTTAAGGGGAGGGGAACCCGGGAGCAAATTTTGACAGTTCGACAAATTATAGAGAAAGCCAGAGAATTCAACAAGCCCGCCTACATATGCTTTGTGGATTTCTCGAAGGCATTCGACTCTGTCAAGTGGCCAAAACTCTGGGAAACGCTGAGGGCGATGGGTGTTCCAAAACACCTGATACACCGCCTGCGAAGACTGTATGAAGATGGCACAGGCTCAGTACGCGCGGTTGAGGTTCAGTCCAACCACTTTCACCCCAGCGCTGGAGTCCGACAGGGATGTATTATTTCTCCACTACTGTTCAATGTGTACACAGAACTCATAATGAGGATCACACTTGAAGATTGGACAGATGGCATCTCGATCGGTGGCTGGAAGATCTCCAACCTGCGATATGCAGACGATACCACTTTGTTCGCCAGCAGTACCCAGTACATGGAAGAGCTTCTCAACAAGATGGAATGCGTTAGCCTCGAGTTCGGACTGAAGATAAACCGGAATAAAACAAAAATGATGATTGTCAACCGCATGTATAACAATTCTCCTGAAACTACAAAAATTGCTAATTGTGATGTGGTGCAATCATACGTTTATCTAGGAGCTTTAATCACGAACAATGGGGGATGTGTCGACGAAGTGAAGAGGCGTATGGCAATATCTAGGTCTGCGATGGACAAGTTAAGGAAAATATGGAGGCATCGCAGCATATACAGAGCCACGAAAATCCAGCTGGTTCGGACACTTGTATTCCCCATTATCTTGTACGCCTCAGAAACGTGGACCCTGCGCGAAGTAGAGAAGAAGAAGATAGACGCCCTAGAGATGTGGTGCTGGAGGAGAATGCTCGGAGTATCGTGGACTGAATTCCGTACCAACGAGTCTATACTTCGAGAACTCGGCATCAAGCAGCGTTTATCGTCTGTGGTGCAGTCTCGTATCCTCACTTTTTTTTTGGTCACGTATGCCGCCGAGGGGAGGTGGCTATTGAGCGACTTGTGGTCCAGGGAAAGGTTGAGGGTACCAGGTCAAGAGGAAGATCTCCTATGAGGTGGACTGACCAAATAAAAGCTGCAGTAAATGGCTCATCATTACACGAATGCACAAGGAAGGCGGCCATCAGAGATGAGTGGCGGCGTGTTGTGAAGCTTGCCTCCAACACCTGAATTGATGACCACGACCACTCTGTCACAAGAGTGATACCGACAAAGAAGAAGAGATAGGAATCTCCAATACAACTTAATGAAGCAATTCACCCACAAGTTGTCAGCGCGATATCGACAATACAATAAGCCTATAACGCGCTGACAAATTTGTGAGCCTAAATCCTACGAACGTTTGTATGTTTGTAGGTTGTATTTTTGTTACTAAGGTAAGCTTAAAGTTTATGACCTGGATTGAGACACAGGTTACTTCCTACCCGGAAAATGTTAGGTTCTTGTGGAATTCTCAATAAACTAAAGTTAACGCGGACTAAGTCACGGGCAGCTGCTGGTATATTATACCAAGAATCTGAGTACTTACAGCCGTAGTCACCAGGACAATGCGGCCCTGTGGAAAATCTCTAGTTGGTTTTCCAATTTGGTAACTCCAATGTAATCTTAGCTATATGTTATGATTGTGATGCTGGATATAGGTTTTTTTAAAGACGACTAGAAATATGTGCCTTGCGCATTGATTAGCATATTAGGCCGACCAACTCGGGCTCTTAACTATCCTAGGAACCACGTCAACTCTCAGTCTATTAAAGATACGGTGTACAATAAATAAACCAATTAACCATCGGCCCCGGAAAGATCGAAAGTAACCCGATGTCACCCGACTACTAGGTGGTAGTGCTGTTCGTGCCCAGGGGAAGCTCCTCGTACCATATCTGATAATCCTGCAACTTGGGTGAAGGTAGATCTTAGTATCTACTTACCCTTCACGAATTAGAAATAATATAGAATACAAACTGTGCTAAAAGTGGTTTCACGCAAACTGTGATCAAGTGGGCGGGGCAAAAAAACGGAGATCAAAACGCCAATCTAGGAATCTTCCCAATGAATGGTTAGCCGAATACATTTGCATATATTTGTCAAAATATTTTGTTTTGTTAGCATTCAAGTTTAGTTTTACTAGTAAGGAACCATACTTTGTTAGACGCTGCCGGGACCAACGGCCTTACATGCCTTCTGAAGCACGGAGGAGGTTGAGATAAAAGTTTTCGGTCACCCATCCAATGACTGATCATTGCGAAAGTTGCTTAACTCTTACGATCGCATGCCGAATGCGCTAACCACCATCGAACTCCTCACTTATTACGTATCTACCTATCATAATGCTTTATAACTACTATACGTTTTAATTATTTGTTGGCACGTTTCAGACGCCTACTCCTCGGCTGGCAACAATCCCGTGCGCCAATCGCCCCTGCTTCACCTGACCTGGAAGTCTGCGGCGCGCACGCAGTCACCGTCCGCCTGAAAGACCTTCGTTCTACCTCTTTATCTACGTCTACTTCTACTTCACAACGAGAACCACCTATAGTCACTAAATTTAAAGGTAAAACTCTCTTTCAGACTGGTGCATATAGGTGTATGTTATTAGCGAAAATTTAGAAAACTGTTGAAGACGATTGCTTGGTCAACTGAAGCTTTGGTGCCGCTGTCCTATTGCTAACAGGGTTTCGTAATATCAAGCGGTGGCACGAGAGTACTAGTGGAAGTAGGCATCTTCATGTGGTTCATCTTCAGGGCGGCAGCTATGAACGATCAGTATTCCCTCTGCAATCATATCTCTTGGATCGTCCACAGTGCCAATGGACTTTATGAAGTCATTATTATGTTGTTACAGTGGAATGGTCTTCAAGGGCGGATTTCTCAGACGTGTGCAGCAGTAGAGAGCTGGAAATCATTTAGGGTGGTTAAGCGCATCGGTGATGGTGTTAAGACATTTTGATACTTGGTTAGTCTAGTTGGCTGCGTACTTTGCTTTCGAGTGGCGGTACCAGTACCACATTAATAGGTATTTCGAAACGATAAATTCTCCCTCTGCCACGGTGCCAAATTATTGCGTTGATGACGTCATTATTGTGTTATTTACAGTGGAATGGTCTTCAAGAGCGGACTTCTCCAACGTGTGCGGCAGTAGAGATGTGGCGGTCGTAATATCGAACGGTGGTACGAGAGTGCTAGCGGCGGGCCTGACGAGAGGCAGGCGGTACTTCTTCAGGGCGGCCGCTGGGAATATCAAGGGATGGGGGCCGTTCACAGTGTCAGTGCCGAGAAGTGTTGTGCCGAGCAGTAAGTTAATATTATTTTCTATGATTATATTCCAACCAAATGCAAATCAGGTCAAAACAGTATCGAGGGGACTCTCCTCAATATTGTTTTGATCTGATTTGCATTTCATTTTGTTAACTTCAATATCTCACAATTGGTTAGTTTAATTCAAGCGTATCCGGCTTTTGCGCGATATGTTAAATTGCCACAAGTATGCCATTTCATCAAGCATCCGGTGTTTATTTATATTTTTAGTAATAGGCTCTAAGATCACCAAAAAGAGTAAGGGAATGTTCATGTGGTAGTAGTATCTCACTATTTTAATAGTAAAACTTGCTCCTTTGGGTGATATCCGATGTACACGTAAGATAAGAGTAATAAGTTGTATTGTCTTAAAACTTTATACGCTAAAACAGCTCTCCTACACGTGTCGCCAGTCTAGTTGCAAGCTTAGCCTCATTGCAAGTCTATAAACTGCTAACTGAAAGATTTAGTTGTGGTCACGTGTGGGGAAACATTATGAGTATTTCTCTAGGATCATAAGGATTTAAGCTACACTCCACACTCATAAACCAACACAACCTGCCAACCCTACTATATTAAGGGATCAAATACTATATTTCTAAAAAAAATATATAGTAGGCGAACCTACTATATTTTGCTTAAGACCCCTTTTACAAAATTGCGCCGCTGCCGTACTGATCGGCGCGTAGGTAGATTTGCACTATTATATATTGCATTTTACGGGTGATGTGTCGAGTCTTATAAAATAATTATTAATGAACTAATTATAAATATATATACATATTTCAGTAGTTCAATGATGTTAGATTAGTTTTATGAAAGTTTTTGATAGTAATTCTATTTAATTCAATATCAAGATACGAGGTAAACCTGCATTACTTTTTGGGAAAACTCACGGAATGTTTTTTTGGTAATTAATGAGATGGAAAATCAAAATTCTAATACATTATGTTACAACAAAAACATATTTGATGTCGTACTAATTATTTTAATCTAATTTATTGAACATTATTGAGAGGCGTTTGAAGTTGTGCATATTATCGTTTTTTCCGTAAACTAGCTGCAGTAGAACGATCAGTACAAAAAAGGAAAATAGTATTTAAAAATATTCTATTCTACATTAACTTACAATAGGAAGAATAAATCTACTGTTTATTTCTATTGGAAATGTTAAAATCTTTTCGAAGGGGGTAAACGAGGCGCTCAAAAAATTACGATTTTTTGCAAAAAATGTGAAAGGGCTCTTAAAGCAGACTTTTGCTAGTAAAAGCTTTCTTAAAATAAAAACTGAAGTATTATAGTGCATAAGAGCAGCAAAAATATACTCACTTCAAAAATAAAGTAAATATTTTAACCAAATACCTACCATATTTTTCCATTCTTTTGTCATCTACTATATTTTCAGAGGTAACAGTTTCGAAAATACTATATTTGATAGAAAATAAATTGGTAAACCTAACCAGGAGGGTCGAGTTTAGCGGTGGTCAAGCTATAATATGGATAATTTGTCAGGTTGGCGGGACGTGGTATCAACGCGCACGTCTCGCGGCGGTTCGGGCGGCGCCGCTGCGGCGTTGGAAGCACTAGCGACCGCCGCCGCTGGCGCCAGACAACGCGCCGCCGCGCCTCCGCCGCGACTGCCGCGCAAGAAGACCGCCACCATCCGGCAGTTGTTTACCGCCGCCAGCAAGTTCCAGAAGAACCTGCGCAGGTATAACTTCTAAGAGACAACTTCATATTGAGTAATACTATAGACAAACAAATACTGCGCAAGTTTAATGGGAATACTAGCACCTACTACGCCCTTGTCCCAGCGAGTCCGCCGCAACTGCCGCGCAAGAAGACCACCACCATCCGCCAGTTGTTTTCCGCCTCCAGCAAGTTTCAGAAGAACCTGCGCATATAACTTCTTAGAGACAACTTCATATTGAGTAAAATAAAAGTACTAATAGACAAACAAAAACTGCGCAAGTTTGAAGGGAACACATCACCCGTTCTTGTCCCAACAATATCGTACAATAGTTCCCTTCATGCTTGATGACGTCACATCTCGCAAATGAAGTTTCTCATCGCCGCTAGCAAGAACTTGCGTAATTATTATTCCCCACCTAGGCTGCACCATGCGTGATGGAATCACACGCCAAACATGAAGCCGCTCAGCACCGCTAACCAAAACCTGCGTAAGTATAATAGCACCCACATCATGCGTGATGACGTCATATTGGTGGGACGCAGTATCATCGCGGCGTTGGAAGCACTAGCGACTGCCGCCGCTGGCGCCAGACAACGCGCCGCTGCGCAAGAAGACCGCCACCATCCGGCAGCTGTTTACCGCCGCCAGCAAGTTCCAAAAGAACCTGCGCAGGTATAACTTCTTAGAGACAACTTCATATTGAGTAAAACTATAGACAAACTAATACTGCGCAAGTTTAATGGGAACACTAGCACCCGCCCTTGTCCCAACGCATCGTACGTACACTAGTTCCCTTCATGCGTGTTGACGTCACACCTCGCGAAAGAACTTGCTCACTGCCGCTAGCAAGAACTTGCGTAAGTATTATTTCCCACCTTGGCTGCACCATGCGTGATGGCATCACAAGCCAAGCATGAAGGCGCTCACTACCGCTAGCCAAAACTTGCGTAAGCATAATAGCACCCACATCATGCGTGATGACGTCATATTGGTGAGACGCAGTATCATCGCGGCGTTGGAAGCACTAGCGACCGCCGCCGCTGGCGCCAGACAACGCGCCGCCACGACCCAGCTGCAACTGGGACTGCCGCACAAAAAGACTGCCACCATCCGGTAGCTGTTCACAGCCGCCTGCAAGTTCCTACATCCTACAAGAACCTACGAAGAAAGATTGTTGCGACAGCCCTCTGATACCTTTTTTTTTTTTTTTTTTTTTTTTTTGTGACGAGGGGAAATGCAGTTACGCACCATACCGTGACGCTGACTAGGCGCACGGCGTGTGTGGGACTCGCCGGCATGGGAAACAGTGCCGACCCTACTCAAGCAGGACCAGTGCGGAAGGCCACACTGATCCTACTCCACTAAAACCCCCCGGTACCCTCCTACGCCCATTTGGGGGCGTCTCGGGGCCGACGCACCTGCGTGCGCCACAACTCCGAGCCCGCCCCCGGGCAGGCCCGGCCCAACGAGTGGACCGGGCGACGCGCCTCAGGGGGACTGCGCTAGGGTACTAGGCAGTCCCCAGACGTGGTGGCCTATGCCGGAGCGGCACCTAGGGCGCGCGGCTGGTCAGGCCGCGCCCAGGCCACCTTAGGGCCGTCGAAGACCGGCAGTCACTGCTGCCTGCCTTCTTCGGCCCACCCGTCTACGCCGGAGAGGGGCGGCTAGAGCGTCCTCCTCCCGCTCCCTCTCCGCTGCCTCCTTCTGCGCCATCACAGATTCGCAGAAGGAGGCGGCAGCCCTCCAGGCTCTCTCGCTACCAAGCATGGCTCTTACCATACTTGGCAGCGTGAGGCCTCCTCCGCCGAGCGCCGCGATCAGATCGCGGCGCTCATTTCGCCAGGCCGGGCACACGATCAACGTGTGCTCAGCCCTCTGATACCTGTAACAAAGCCTTAATCTTTGCGTTCAAGGAGCCGCACCACAACTAAGTGCAGTTCACGATCCTTAACATCGTCATCGGGATCTCAACCAGTGTTTTAAGTGTTAGGAAGGCTACACTTTTAATTTTAGTGAAAAGACAATTTTAGAGTATTTAGTAAGAAAAGCCGAACTAATCCGACAAACAGAGAGGTCCTATGAAACAACGCCATCTAAAAGACTGTCATTGGAACAACAGCCAAAAAAATCCAGATTAGTGGACAACGCCTCCTTTTATACAGCCTGTTATAATTGTGGAGCCTATTCTTATCCGCTTTGCCTAAGTCCAGCTTAGATAATCTTTTGTACAAATTAGATATATTAAAAATGAAATTTTATACATACATTCTGTACGGTTAATGACAAGGATACTTTCCATTACTGTTGCTAATTTATTTTTTTTGGATTTATAGAATCATGCAAGAATTGACACCAATGGATCAGTAGTAAAATTAGATTTTCTGTCCTACAGGGGCGTGTACCTAGCGTGCATCCTTTACCACGAAGACAAGGTGCTGGTCACCAGCGAGGAGTTCCTGCCCGTCATCGAGGTGGACGAGACCTACCCCACCTGTATATACACCGACTTCCATTGGCTCATGAAGGTAAATATATTAGTATAACATTAGACATTTAATTAGTGGCCTTTTGCTCGACTAGCTGCAATAATAACATGACAGTTTTATTCAGTCAGGGATGAGAGCCCACCATCACCACCCCACCACATGATAGGCGCTAACGGCTGCAGATACAGCCGGAAAAACGGCTTAACGTGCCTTCGAACGTACGGAGAAGCTCGAGATATTAAATTTATTGGTGGGTGACCAATCCTTTACTCGGCCTTTAGAAAATGTGTTTAACTTCCACGACCGCAGACCGATCACGCTTACTACTTATACTATCAAGCTGCTCTCGATCTCACAATTGACATAAATTATTAACATGCGATTTCCACACGGATAGCACAAGGCCCAGGTTCGAAACCTGCCTGTTAACTGGACGGAGTGAAAGTTTTTCTTCTAAAATATTATTTAGATTTATAAATGACTTACTTTTTTGTTTTATTTTTGCTAAGGTGTCCTGCGCGTGGGACGACGTGAAGGGTCTCCGGTCAGACATGGAAAAGCACACGTCCTCCTCAATCCACTTCCGACTGAAGTTGCTCACGGCTGCTGCGCAGATGCAGTCCGCGCTCGGTATCCAAGATTTAGGTAATAGAAACAGTTATTCGTTGTGAAGTTTGTCGTCGTAGGACGACGTGAAGGGTCTCCGGTCCGTCATAGAGAAGCACACGTCCTGCTGGGTCCGACATTCCCAATGCTTGAACACAGGCTTCCCTATGAATGTAATTCGCGGGTCCAGTACTAATAGGTAGAAGCTAAAGACTGCAGATGTAACCGAGGCCATCCATTTAGGGTGCCTTCTAACCAATGCTCGAAATTATACATTTTGGATCACCTACCTTATGATTTGCCATTGCGAAATTCTCAAGTCATCAATCATCGAACTCCACGGTTAATAATTGCATTCCACAAAACTGTTAAGAAAATACAGTTTCTTTCATCAACCCTCAACCCAAATCCTTTGCCGGCAGGAACTTAACACGACCAAAATGCTTTCTGATAACACTACCGTGTTACTTCACTATTTCTGTAAGGCACTTAAATAGTGACTTTGATTCCAGGACAATTGTATCATAAGCCGTTAAGGGACTCGCACGGGACCGTGGTCCTGTCTTGCGTGAACAGCGTGAAGTCGATCAAGTCAGTCTCAGCGCTGAACTCGCGGTGGGCTCCTGTTTCGAGGCTACGGCGGAGAGTGCTCAGCGAAGACAATACCATAGGGGAATTACTAATGGCCTCCGTGCACGAGCAAATCGCTTACCATCAGGTAACGTTTATCTACCTTGTAATAAGCCGTTAAGGGAGTCGCACGGGACAGTGGTTCTGTCTTGCGTTAACAGCGTGAAGTCGGTCCCAGCGCTGAACTCGCGGTCGGCCACAGTTTCGAGGCTGCGACCGACGAAGAGTGCTCAGTGAAGACAATACAAAAGGGAATTACTAATGACCTACGTGCACGAACAAGGCGCTTACCATCAGGTAACTCTTGATTGGCTTTTAATGGAAACCTCTATCAATAAGAGAAGAACACCATCTCACAACTTAAGCTTTTTGATTTCCTATTACTAGAATATCGGTTAATCGTTGGAACAGAATTACATAGGCAGAATAGACTAGAGCTGTAATTGAACAGATATATTGTGTAAATAAATTTAAATGCAGTCGCTTTTATAGCTATGATTACGTTGGGAAAATAGTGTATTGGGAAACTTCTGGGAGTGAATAAAAAGTTACCTTTTTGGGGTCGAAACAAAACCTTATTGGAGCATTCGGTTAGAGCTACAGTCTTTGAAAGGGTCCATTCTTTTCTCCATACAACTCTGCCCAATTTTGTACCTCAAGTATTATCATGTATTTATGTGTAGAATAATACGCCAAATTCGTCAAAGATGGAGTTTATTATCCAATTATACCACATAAAATGTCGTTGAAACATTTAAATTAATGGCAACACAGATAATATATTATGGTAATCGTATATTTAGTATGGTATCGTGGTTTTCTGATACAAACATACACAATCAAGAACAATTTAAACCAATAGCTTATATTAGCTGTCATCTGTCAGTCAATGACAAATTGCGTCTTAGTCATAAAGTTTCTTTATACGCAGATTTTCTATTTTAATTCAGATTTATAAGCTTTTTTTGATGAATGTATAATAATATATGATATTAATAATTATATAATATTACTAAGCATAATTTAACATGTTTTTGAGATAATTTATACCAAGGTACAAAATTGGGGCAAAAATCGAAGGGCTCCTTTACATAGATAATCATCTTGTTTATCCAAAACCATTCAATTAATCACAATTTTTCTTCAACCTTTTTTAATGAGCGAAATAAAATTTAAATTATGCCTTTAAAGCACCAAGCAGACAGCATAACCCATATAACATATGGGTTATGCTGCCTGTTGCTTCAATTGTCGTGTCGATATCCCTGCAGTATACCTTAAGCTATTTGTGTCGTCGTGTTATGTTTCTCTTACCAAGATTCATTATTGCACCAGGTTTCGCGCGTACAACTCACCCGCGGTCTATATCTGGGCTACTTGAAGCTGCAGTCGTCCGTAGAAGTGGTGCGCATTGTGGCACCCGCGCGCGCGCCCAACGTGCCGCCCCACACACGCGTGCGAGACAACCCGCACGTGTCCGCGTACGTATCACATCACATAGTGTGCGCTGCCTGCAGCTACAGTCGTCCGTGGAGGTAGTGCGCATCGTGGCGCCCAACGTGCCACCCCACACGCGCGTACTAGACAACCCGCACGTGTCCACGTTCGTATCACACCATATAGTGCGAGCTCTATAGCTGCGCTGCCTGCAGCTACAGTCGTCCGTGGAGGTAGTGCGCATCGTGGCGCCCAACGTGCCACCCCACACGCGCGTACTAGACAACCCGCACGTGTCCACGTTCGTATCACACCATATAGTGCGAGCTCTATAGCTGCGCTGCCTGCAGCTACAGTCGTCCGTGGAGGTAGTGCGCATCGTGGAGCCCAACGTGTCACCCCACACGCGCCTGTGAAACAACCCGCACGTGTCCGCGTACGTAACACATCATAATAGTCCGCGCTGTATCTGAGCTGCCAGAAGTCGCAGTTCTATGTCGAGACACAAGCCTTACCTTCGAATAGATTACGGCCATGCCGTACAACGCCCGCCCAGTACTGACAGGTGGGAGCTAACGATTGCAGATGCAGGTAATACTAGAGACAGTCAATTTTTCGGTGGCCCATCCTATAACCAGTCATTGCAAAATTTGATTTGAAACCGCCAATATTAACGTACTTTTTCCTTTACAGTGAAGAATGGGATTACCTTCGGACGCAATCAGGAAAATCATCTTCTGAAGAAATACAAGCTATGAATAGTCTAGTACCTATCGGTAGTCAGGAGAAACCCTCAGAATCTCAAGAAATGTTCCTGGATCAGATAGCGAACGCCGCTAGACGATTGTTCCGAGAAATGGATATACCTTTAGAAAGCGTCATTGCCCACCGAATATACGACCTCGAGGTCGTGGAACTCAACAATGACGTTAGCTTCATAATGATCTGCCCTCCAGCTGAGCAAGCTTGCTCTGTACCGGGACAGAAAGAAATACTCCTGCAGAGAGGCGATTTGCTCAGCCTACCGATACAAGCTTTCGAAATGATTCATCTGCAGACGTACCATAGCAGTATACTAAATAAATACTCCAAACTTAGTTGTGTATTAGAATTAGATGTAGCCCTAGCAGCCCATTCGCATAGAGAAGCATTCTCTTGCAGTGAATTACAAACTGCCAAAGAACGGTTAACGAAGCTTGAAGAACTCCAAAATAACTTGAATACAGTTTGGAAAGCGGAAAGATGGCTCATGGATCTAATTGGTTTTGCGAGAGACAAAGATAAAGCTTCACCTAACTCAGGCATATTATTAAAACACATCCTAGATAAAACTCCTCAAATTTGTACAGACGGTCCGGAATTAGAAACATGTGATGCAGATGCCAATCAGAAAGTGGATTTCCTTCAAATACCAGCTAGAGATGGGAAAATGACTAAAACTTCACCAGGTCGAGGTTCATGGCCTGGGCCAGCCGGGAATGGAAATCATGCAAACTTGCATCCAGAATTTAGCAAATCTGAACAACAACTTAGCATAGCCCCGCGTCAAACTTCAGTATCGACGCTAAACTTGTCTAGTTCACAATACCTAAGTGCTGAAAATAAATACTCTCGAAAAGGTAGTGGGGATTCCCAATACACTCAGTCTAGTGCCATGAGCAATAACTACACGAGCAGCAACTCCCAGTTTGACATTAAGTCGCCCAGCTCTCACACTAGCGCTGGCAGTAATCGTCTTCCACCATCACGAAGCGAAGATACTTTAGTACTTCAAAACGAGAACGTCGAGCAAAAACCTAGGCCGCACAGCATCACTACATCAAGTATGTCAAATACATCTAGTCCTCTGCTAACAGTGAAAGGTTTCTACCCAGGAAGCATGATAAGCGTGAGGACAAGCAAAGCGTCGAACGTGTCAGAATCCGCCCAAAGTCTGTCGAGTGATTCAGAGAGCCAGAGTTGTCCGATAACCTCAACATCAGTTCCTTTGAAAATCCGTCCGCAGGGAAAGCATTTTAGAGCGCCCAATAACGTTATTACCTCTAAGAGTATGACTAACGTGAAGTCCTCAGAGGTGGACTATACGGACACGGGGCAGGAGTTGTTCGCCAAGCCGAGCACCTGTGTAAAGCGACTTCCACTCCTGGAGACACAGGAAGACGCTGAGTATAATAATAAGATTCCAAAGACTGATGAAAAAAGTGAGATGGAGGAGCGGCAAGAACAAGTGCAGGAGCATCGGCCCTCAGACCAGCCTGGAATATTACAGGTAACTATTCACCATGTAGCTGCCTCGTATTAGTTTTACTAGCTTATGCTCACGATTTCGTATTGTATGTACTTATGAGCAGATTATAGTAAGCCATTGCGGTGACGCTGGCATGCTCCTATAACCCTAAAATTGACAACAGTGTATCCCTGTCTTGATCTTTACAGAATATTATTCTATATTTTTGGTCCATATTCAGTTTAAACTTGTATTTCACCAAAATTACCTTGTTTCGAATTGGATATCTAATGCAACTCTTTTAAAGCACCATCTTTGGATTTTTTACTAAGCAGAGAGAAATGTGGCAAAAGTAACCCAGGTGAGATGGACAGAAACTCTTACTCTTGGAGCTTTTAGATGATATTTAGTAGCTCAGTGAGTACAACAGTAAAGAAAAATCGCTTAGGCTCTCTCTCGTCAGGAATAACTTGAAACAGTTGAACGCTTCAAAACTTGTTATAAACTGCTGACTTTTTCATCCAGGTGTTCGCTGCATACGAAACAGGTCTCGCGTCTGGCACCTCTCTCAAGCTGCACGTGACGCCGAGAACTTCTGCACGTGAGGTCATCGACCTCGTGGTCAAACAGCTCAACATGGCCGCCGTCCTCAAAGGCAAGGCAGGGCCAGTCTACGGCCCGGATAAGCTTCAGGACTTCTGCCTAGTAGCGGTCATAGGGGCGAGAGAGAGATGTCTCCGCGATGACTTCAGACCACTCCAGTTACAAAACCCGTGGCGAAAGGGACGGCTATATGTGAGGCTCAAACACGACGTGCTAGCTGCTCTGCAACACTCCGCGAAGCAACCGTCTTATATATAAAAGATACGTTTATATTAAATTATTAAGCATAGTGTTCATTTCCATCCCCAAATGAGAGTCCGTTTGAATGTAAAAAATAACATATTAAAATAGAAATGCCTTTTTTTGATTTCGTGATAAATTTTTGAAAATCATAGCTATAGTGTATTGCATAGTATCAAAGGAAATTCGTCCATTATAATTCAGCGCCGTTGGAAATCATCTTTGAAAATAAATACAAAAATTACCGATAATAATGATTATTATCTATAAATTCAATAATGATCTTTGTGACTTTTTTCGAACGGATCTAAAAGTAACAAAACATTTAGTTAATATCCTCCATAAAGCGATTGAATAAGTCATTTATTAACCTACTTATGTATATAATTTTACATTTAAATTAATGAAATTAAAAGTAAGTGAACGTTGGAAATAGTCTCGTTTGTAGTAAATAATTCAGAATTTTTTTTGTACCGCGTTTTTTTATAAACTAATTTTGTAGTTTAACTTTTTATAGGATACGATTTGTTTTCGGTGCCAATTCTGATTATTTTGATGCTTTAAATAGATAAGACAACGTTGTGAGTAGGTATTATACTATACAGAAATATTCAAACAGAATTTGTGGTGCTTTTCACTGTAAAATGTGTGTCGCTTATTATTCGATGTATGTTATTTTCATTAATGTTTATTTGTCTACCACTAAATATTTTCTTGTTCGATCGTTGTGTCTTAAAACATAATTATTAGCAACGAGCTTATCATCAGCCAACATTAGGATAGGATAGCAAACAAAGCTTTAACGGTTTAAATGCGTTAATTTTTTTTACTTGACGTATCGCATCCTTTTCACGCTGCTTCGTCAGAATTATGACGTCGCCTGAAAAGGATGCGAAAAGTCAAGTAACAAATAAATTAACGCATTTAAACTGTTGAAGCTATGTTTTTTTAATGAGTGATGAGCGTGAAAACCTAAGAAACAGGATAGCATTTAACAATATAAGAATTCTTTGATACTACGGAACCCTTAAAAAAGTGGTCTACTGGGTACTTGGTTCTTAATCTCGAATCTCTCTAGTTCGTAGAGGCACTTCCCGTTAACAGGGAAGTGGTAAAATATAGATAAAGTTTCAAACTTTCCCATAAAAGGCTCATTTAAAGTAACTTGTAACTTCATCTATCTTCTCGACTGGACTCCATTTACACTTAACATCAGGCGGGGTGGGGTAATTTGTTGCATCTTGTATAAAACAATCATTTTTTGTTTCAAGATATTTAAATGTTAATGAAAATTTATACATAGCTTCGTGATATAAATCTGGTTAGTTTAAAACAAATTGTTTGAAATAATTCCCCTGATTAAATAGCATTATCATTGAAATGTTTATCGAATGAAATAAAGTTTTCCCTGTTATGAATTTATCGTAGTCAGACCAACTTGTAGGCATTGTATTTTCCCTATTTTTGTTGTATTTACTGCGATAACCAAAATCAAGTGAAATAAATATAAATTTCTATATTTTTCACTACTTTTTACGTAAAATCCAAAATCCGCTTGGATGACATAAGTGAATATGCGAATTTACTCGCAAATTACATACCTACCTAGCTAGGTACCAAATTTTCGAAATCGGTAAAACTTATGTTTGAGCTTTGTTTTTTAAATGAACTGAAATTATATGTAATTTATTTACTTATATATTTTTATTATATTTTTGGTTAGTAGATTATTATTTTTGTAAAACCATATCTCTGAGGAAGACAGGGTTTTAATGATTTCGACCATAAACATATTTTATCTAATCATAAAATGATTAGAATTTTATACAAGTGTGATTATAGTATTATTACGACATAAAACACGATAAAGTTATTTGATCTTTTTCATTATATAATTTTAAATTCTTAAAATGAAATAACTATCAATGAGTAAAAGTTATACAAAAAATATCTCTCTTACAGTATTAACAATATTCTAATATATTATAGATAAGATTTTATCATTTCAATTTGCTGATCCGTGCATATCAATTGAAAGTACTTATTACCAAAGCTACATTTTGTTAATAATTATATATTTTTTTATAAATAGATTGTATCGATGTTCCCCTTTATCTTAATACTTCTACAATAATCAACATAACTATATAGATATTTTAAATATTCTAATACCTACTTAGAAAATTTAATTTTACATTTTTAACTCTCTTCTTCAATAGATGAATGAGTGAGAATGAGTTGGACTCTAGAAATACTGGTTAGAAAATACTCAATTATTATGTAATATGATTTTATTACGCGGTTGTACATTTTATAGGTAGACGCATGTACAAAGAGAATGTGTAATTAGAAAGAATATGAATTATAAACGTAACGAAGATTCGAGCCATAAATAATGCAGAATGCAATTGTATTAAAGCCTAACTGAATGTCTTATGATAAATATAAAATAAAGTTTATTTTAGAATAAAATTATTGTATCGTTCACCTTATCCGGTGTTGTAAAATTAGGTTTTAGAAAGAATGGGAGTATGAAGTGATGCACAAAATAAATGTATTTCATTCAACTTTTGAGTTTGTTTTTCTCTCTCTCATATTTATAGCGATGGGCGTGTAAAATGGTTGTTTGGTTTTGCTTTTAATTAAAAAAAAAGCATTTTCCTAGTTTAGTACTTATCTGCTTCCTTATCTACAAAGGGACAATAAAAAATAATCTGTGAATTCGTTCGGGGGTTTTTGGATTCGCTACTCTTTTGATGATACTCTTTGAAACTCACTAATATTTGCGGCCAAGCTTATTCAATTTGATTGTTAAATAAAAAAAAAGAGAATGAACAAGATGATGAAACAGCGGGTAGCACGACCGCAGTTCCAGAAAGCCGCGCGCCGGCTGGCCGTCTGTGTACCTATGTAATCCATCGATATTGTATTTTGGCTTGGACCTAAACGAAACTCCTATAAACAAAGCGAACATCCATGAATACAACAAAACAAATTAGCGAAGCTAGGTTAAGCCTAAACTTAGAAATAGGTACATAAAATACTGGAAACGATATGACGTACGAAGCTTCAGTAACCCCAGCACGAACAGCTGGCGAGAAAGTACCTAGTCAAAGTTTCTATGAAAGGATCTAGTTTGTTCCTACGTCCGGTAACGGCGCTGCCTAGTTTTCATAGAAATTTTGACGATGGCGATACGAATACTTTCTCGATAGTTTTTTAGTACACAAAGCACGTACTGGAATATAAAAGCACGGACCCACCCACGTGCGAAGTATGAGGAGATGGGGACGCTAACCGAACGAAGTGAGGGCGTTTCGCTTCGCTGGGTTCGTGGAGTTTTCCCAACTCGGTCCTGCTGCTTAAGTGGGTCGTTTACGGTGTGAAAAAAAAAGCGTAGCGAACTACTTTACTTCTCTCTCATCATCAACTGGGCAGGTTTCATGGATCAGCGGGAGCGGTCATAGAGCTGGATGGAATGAGCGAGGAGGACTGGAAGACTTCCGTATATCCCCGAGCTGCTTCTACATAAACACCACCACACACCTTTACAATCTACACTTTGATCACATACAACTGCAGAGATGTGGGTACACTGAATTCAGAACGGGAAGACACGCCAGTAGCATGCATTTCATATCTCTCTTGGCCCATCTTCATTTGACCCGGTCTCTGTGTTTTCATACAATTTTTACTTGATGGATCAAACGATCTTTATTTACCTACCTGCTACGCCGATCTGTAAGCAAGCTCTGAATGTTTAAAAGACATTGAATGAGTAAGGCTATGTTAATTTAAGAATAAAGAATTTGATTTATTTGAGAATAATCGACGGATTTTTTTAATTTATTATTTGCAAATTAATTGAAATTACTTTATCATTATTACATTTCCTCCGTCCATGTGTTAGGTTGAAAAGTTTTATAAACTACTGGACTGATTTGGATTAAATTTTATGTATGCATTCGTATGGACTAGAATAAATAATTCAAATCAAAAGGTCAGTAACGCATGCCTTCGTATGGCTTCTGCCACCCCTCCTCGGCCGTTACCCTCTAAGTAAATACGCCACTGCTGCTAGCTAATTAGGTGGCATTGCAGTTGGGCAGCACAACGTGGCTCAACAAAGGAATAAAAAAAGTTAACTTAAGTAAATAAATTCCTTGAGTACTTACGTGTGTTGAGTCCGCTACTACTGTGACGTAAAATAGGCGTAGTTTTAATTTGTTACTAGACAATTAATAGAAACTTTAAAGTTACCTTAACTTGTAACACACATCAAGTGGAATGGAATTAAGAATTTAAGAAGAAGTTTAGCACCTGCAATAATTATAAAATTATTTATTATTATTTATTTATTATTGCAGGTGCTAAACACTCCAAGGAACTGCAAGGTGCTAATAAACTTGAGCATTCACTTGTAATGAGCATTCTTGCAAATGTAACATGTTTTAGTTACAGTTTAATAAATGAGAAACATTTAGCGATCACTCTGGCGAGCATTCTAGCGAAAGGACAATAAAGCTTTGAGCTTTTTGTTCAGCCGAGCTCCTGTCATTGTTCCATGGCCTCCCCTCCCCACTGTTGCCCCTTTTTTGTAATATAACCCTGTATGAAAAGTATGCAGTACACGCGACCGTAAAGTCTGACATCTTCGTGAAGAATATTTTTTTGACGGGCATCGACTAAAACTAGAGCGTAAAAAGATCATGAAAATGTTTTGAATTCGTTGTTCAGTTCGACAAATTTAAAAACGGCTAATGCTTGATGTTCTGTTACATACAAGTGAATGTTTAAGTTTATGAGCACCTTTAAATAATTCATAATTTAATTATTATCTGACTCATTATAATGGATATTTCAACGTGGTGGAATTTTGTATTACTACTAACGGTGGAACCTTCAAAATAGTTAAGTATGCGTTATTTCAGTTAAATGGACGTAATAATTTTATTGTACTGTTAAGCTCATAAAAGCTGACTATATAATACGGCACACTTATATCCTTTGTCTTCTAATTACGGGAGAATATTAAAATCTGTCATGTTGTCATCATGACAGATGACATGTTACTGTCAGATGGATGGATGTCCGCCTGTCCTGTCTATTTATCCATAGAACTTTTTATCATTTCTTTATAATAAACAACAGTCCAAACTCCAAAGGACGTAACATTTATTTCTTAGAAGAAATTAACTACCTTTCGAGTTTATTTTTTAATTGTATCAAACTACCAAAATGAGTTTAGTTGCTAATACTGGGTAAGAATCTTCTACAAACTTTTCAAAGTATCGTATGTGCTGTCCCGTTAATTTTTCTCCATTTCTGTTTCAATTAGAAAATTGGCCGGCCGTACGCTGTTCGTTACTGGCGCCTCTCGAGGTATTGGTAAAGCTATTGCTTTAAAAGCTGCGAAAGATGGAGCAAACATCGTTGTAGCAGCGAAGACCGCTGAACCACATCCTAAATTACCAGGAACTATTTATACGGCCGCTGAAGAAAGTAAGTCACTCGGAAGCGTTCCTAATATAACTACTTCACAAATGCTCCGTTTTCTTGTATAGTTTCAGTCATAATAAGTTTGAATATAATGTTTGATACTTTCTTGGACTTTGTACCCACTATTTGTAGTATTGTCACAGATACATAAACTTAATAAAAGTTCGTATTCCCGCATCGAAAAACCTAAAAACTGTTTATGAGAACATAGAATAGATTTTTGATATTTCAAATTGTAAAGCAAGTAGGTAATGGATTAAGAGGAGTGTCCGTTCAAAACTATCTATTTGCATTTTGAGTTTTTTCTTCATTTCGGGCTCGGAGACATGATTTTTAATAATTTCGTAATTAAATTTAGTCAAAACTTGTTATTTATAGGTTGAAATACAAATCAAAAATATGAATTTTGCTTAAAACTTGCTATTTACTTAATTCAAATATATTTTATTTTACGATTATAGAGTTTTTAATCATAATTCGTCTATTTACTGTATTTGTTCGTTGAATTGAATGAGATGTTGAACAAAAGAGTTCAAATACTGTGTGGCAGGTTATTACGACTATAACGGAAATTCTCATTTCTCATCAAAAATAGATATTAACAAATATATTTTTATCAAACCAGTCGTATTTACCAAATGATCGAAAACTAAAGTGTATTTACTACCATCTACATCAAAAGTGCCTATTTACAAACTTCTTAATTTATTAAAAGAATAATAAACAAAGTATTAAACAAAATCTGTTCATAAAGATGATTAGACAACTATATCTTGTAACGCGTACCACACAAAATTATTGTATATATTTGGCATTTTAATTATTAGTTTTTGGCATTTTCTGTAAAATTCATTCTAATGTAAATAGCTAGTTTTGAATGGACACTCCTCCTATAAAGCAATAATTAAAATTTGTATTAATTTTGATTGATAGTTGAAGCTCTAGGAGGGAAAGCATTGCCTGTTATTGTTGATGTAAGAGATGAAAAGCAAGTTCAGAAAGCTGTTGATGAGGCAGTCAAGAAGGTAACATATTACTTAACACAACAATATCCGAACACACCCATCCCTTTTATATGACATTCACAGCTTTAACGCAGAAAAATTTAACAAGATAATGAAACAATTAAAAAGGTTAAATTAATTATAACTTAAATAAATAAATTTTTTTTACTAAGTCCTAATATTGATGTAATTACAGACAAAGTGATAGAAACAAAGCTTCAAATAAATTCAATAAAATTCTATGAAACAAAAATTTAAATTTATAATGATTCATTATCATAATGGGCCATTATGATGTATTATGGCCCATTACAATAACATTTGTATTGGTATTGTAATAGCCATATTGTTGCATCCCTAATTTTCACATTTGCTATGTTTTTAGTAAGGCTCTTTGAGTATGTCCTTTCTAATATAATATGGCCTTTCCTATGAGTGAAAAAGCCATGAAGGGTCAGGGAAAACTACCATTTGTCTAATTTTTTATAAAATTTGTGAATTTGACTTATTTAAGTAAATTTTATTTTAATATGTTTTTTAGTTCAATGGCATTGACATACTGGTCAACAATGCATCTGCAATTTCTCTCACCGGCACCGAACACACTGATATGAAGAGATATGATCTCATGCACAATATCAATACAAGGGGAACATTCTTGGCGTAAGTAAAGTAAAGTTCTTGGCATAATTACTGGTGAATCGTACATGATTTTGCAACTAAATATTCAAATTAAGTGTTAATTATTCTTTACAGATCCAAATTATGCCTTCCCTATCTTAAAAATAGTGATCATGCTCACATCTTGAATTTATCACCACCTCTGAATATGAATCCTCATTGGTAAGTTTGTTTCACAAAATAACTAAAAAATACACAATTATTATTACAGATACATAGAATAGATTATACTTTTTTGAAATAAAGGAGCTTGCCTTTACATATAAACAGAACATCAAATTTGGAATATAATCACCACTTATAATAACACCAATATTGCTATATAATTAACAAAACCTATACATTTTTTTATTTCTATTATTATATTTTCACTGAGCATTGCTCTTAAAGATATTCTTTACTTTGGCATTAGGTCAAATCTGATACTTTGTAATACAAGCCCTGTATTTGTATACTAAAACATGATTGTTGTCCTATTCTGCTGTCCTCAAGCTAAAACACACAAACAACAAAAAACACACGCTACAAAGGCAGCTGAAACGCGCGACAGCCACTTGTGGCCGGTGGTCGACTCTTGCCGTCGGTGGCTGCTACTTTTTTTTAACACATGCGTGCAGTATCATAATGGACTCTGACGAAAAAGCTTTGACCCCACCTTCAAATCGCGTGAGTAGCGTGTGGCGGCGTTTTGTATCGGCGCATTAGTGGCCGGTGCGGGCCACAAGAAGCGAGCAATGACGATTTGTAGCGTGTGGCGGCCACCAGCGTTAACCGTGTGCAGCGAGTCAATATAAAATGTATGAAAACTACAGAAAATATGACCATGGCCCGTGTGCGGCGACCTTTAGCCGCACTTTAGTTTGAGGACAGATAAAAATGACACTGAAATTATTTTTGACAGTAATATCAATCATGTCAATCATAATAATGTTGGGTTGATTTACTTGTTACTGTTTCAAATAGCTTACTGTCAAGGAATTAGAAATGATATGGAAGCATTACTCTCTAACCAAGGCGTCTAAAACAGGGTTCCAACAACTAAAACTCATACAACTAAACTTCAATACTACCGCGACACGCACACAAACAAAAAAAAAGTCAAATATCTCCAAATGAATTTGATTATCCATTCATTGGGTACTCAAATTAAAACAAAAAGGGAAGATACGGCACTCGCGGCTTGAAAGTGATCCGCTTAAATTGTGGTGCATGACCATGCTTTAGTCAAAATTGGACATTCAAACACGCTGCATGTGCACTCAATATAACAATTGTGCGTATATTCTGTGTTATCAAGATAAAACAATGCCTTCGATGCTTTTAAAAAGAATACAAATAGTTCAAAATGCAACACAACACTTGTCAGTCGTAAAACTGTAAAAACATTTTTTTCTCAAATATCACGGTTTGTCGTGAATGCTATATACGTAATCGCCATTTTGTATCAAGAAAAGGACATCAATACGCTGCGTTGCAGCGTATAGTTCTGTCTCGCTCGCTCGATTGAATGTTTATATACAGACCTGTGCGTGCGTGAGAGTTGCTTATGTAGTTGAGTCGGATCATATTTTATTTGATGCTAGTATGAGCGTACCGTATCTGCCCTTTTTGTTTTATTCTAAGATTGGGTAAGATAATGTTAAAGTGAAATCGCAACCAATCCCAAGACCTGCGCGTTGACCACATTTTTTTGGCCGCGCCCACTTGATCGCAGTTTGCGGGGAACTACTTTTTAGCGAAGTTAGCATTCCATATCATTTCTAATACGTCCCTTACTGCACAGGTTTTATAAAGGTTTTATGATAATTTTAATTATCTGTTTTTTAAAGGTTTGCTGTCCATGTGGCATACACAATGGCTAAGTACGGAATGTCAATGTGCGTACTAGGAATGAGTGAAGAATTCAAACAATTCAACATTGGTGTCAATGCACTCTGGCCTAAGACAGGTAAGGACAGAATCACATGATATACTATTTTTTTATCAATGCCAATCAAATTATACCGGGTAGGGTCAGCACGCGCAAATTAACAAACTTACCTTGCTATACTTTATCTTTGTTGTTAGTATCTTGTACTCAAAAGATAGATAGTAGTAGTACCTTATATTTAAATGCCAATAACTAAACAAACTAAACTTTGTTTTCATAAGGAGACGCAATCTCACGTCAATGGGTACAGTGATCGATGCTGTGGATTGCCAAAGGAGCCGTTTTTAATTATTTCAAACATTCTTTTAGCGTTTTTTATTCTAAATCAAAGGACATTGTTCAGCGTCCATACATAGATAGCCTAAGAACCAACAATCATGAAATATTATTTTCTAGGTTCAAAATCGTAATTAAATGACTGTAAAAACAAAAATTATTGACGGACACTTCTGAGAATTTAAATTATTAGGAAAACTAAAATTTTTTTGAGGTTATGTTTAATATTCAATGAAACATAGGTCCACCTATGAATTTAGTATAAACTCAGTATGAAGTAAATTAATATTACAACTAATTCATTTTATTCGGTGTGATTTTAAAGAATAACTATTAGAAAAAACTTGGTTGGGTAGGAATCATGAATAAAATAAAAACTGTAGTTTTGCTTCCTATTTATTGACTATTTTTCACATTAATTGTATCATATTGTTTATTGTATTTATTTGTATATCACATGTAGGTATATTATGTAAAAAAGCAGCGTGAATGTGGATCAGGGTTTCTTGAATAATTTGGCAGTATGATCCTCTCAGGATATTGTGGCACAGGTTCACTAGCACTTGGTAATAAGGGCTCTGCTCTTTGGTAACATCAATGGCATATTAGATAGCCGAAATAGTTAAATTATATGAAAAACAATCACAAATAAACACACACAACACAAAACAGGTAATCCGAAACGAGAACGCACTTTCTGGTATTATACTACTCTTTGGAATGCACGAATGCCACAGATTACTACGAATGCAAACTGCATGCACCACAACCACAGAGTAACGAGTTTTATGGCGGCCCTTCACTTGACAACAGTTTGTCCTTGTCATGCTTAATAAGGAATGTAAAGGACAGACTGATGTCATGATTTGAAATAGCAAATACGAATAGCCAAGTGAAGTGCCGGCATTAGGAAGAAAGAGTGTTTTGTTTGCAGCGCTGCCATAGATTATACACAGAAAATGGTATTTATTGTCTCAGATTATTTTTTAACTTTTTAATTTAGCTTACTGAACTGGAAGTGTCCGTCACAATCTAAATACTGATAATTATTGCAAAAAATATACTAAGAATTATCATAAATGCCAAATTGCTGTTGGTTCTTAGGCCAATTTTAACATTGTCCTTTATGTTGTTACTAGTGGCCGGAAGCGTTAATTTTAAGATTTTTTCTTAATTAAAAGTAGCCTAAGTTACTACTTTTTACATCAGCTACCTGCCAATTAAAGTCCCGTCAAAATCGGTCCAGCAATTACAGAGATTAGCCGGAACAAACAGACAGACAAAAATTGTAAAAAATGTTATTTTGGTGTATGTACCGTATATATATTTGCATGTAGTAATTCATATGCATGTAGTAAACAGCGGTTATTTCAATATTACAAATGGACACTCCAATTTTATTTATATGTATAGATTATGTCAATTAAATGTTTTTTCGTATTATTTAGCCACAGCTACGGCTAGTAGGGTACAGCTCATTAAGTTAATTTAATTATATGGGTGACTATTTCAGCTATCGCAACTGCAGCTATAGAAATGTTGACGGGTGATACGTCAAGTAGCCGTAAGCCAGAAATAGTGTCTGATGCGGCATACTATATGTTGTGCAAGTAAGTTGATTGTGAGCTCAAAGTGGAGTGCGACTAAATGTTTAGTTTTGTTAGAATCATGTTTAATTGAATATAAGGATTATTTAATTGTTTAAGAGCCCTTTTACAAAATTGCGCCGCTACCGTTCTGATCGGCGCGTAGGTAGATTCGCACTAGTAATATAGCATAATACGGGTGATGTTTCGAGTCTTATAAAATAATTATTAATGAACTAATTATGAAAATAAATACATATTTCAGTAGTTCGATGATGGTAGATTAGTGTTATGAAAGTTTTTAATAGTAATTCTATTTCATTCAATATCAAAATACGAAGTAAACTTGCATATTTTTTTGGGAAAACTCACGGAGGTTAGAAGTTTTTGATGATTAATGGGATGGAAAATCGGAATTCTAATACATTATGTTACAACAAAAACATATTTCTGATATTGTAGTAATTAATTTGATCTAATTTATTGAACATTATTGAGAGATTAAGGCGTTTGAAGTTGTGCATATTATCGTTTTTTCCGTATACTAGCTGCAGTAGAACGAACAGTACAAGCAAAGGACAATAGTATTTGCAAATATTCTACATTAACTTACAATGGGAGAATAAATCTACTGTATACTTCTATTGGAAATAGTCAAAATCTTTTCTAAGGGGGTAAACGAGGCCCTCAAAAACGATAGGATTTCATCCATGATTACGATTTTTTGCAAAAAATGTGAACGGGCTCTTAACACTAAAGTCACAAAACACTACTTCAACCGTTTGACTATAAGGAAAATTATTCCTGGTGGACAAACAAGTTAGCCTAGAAATTTTCACCACCCTGCAAAGATGGTGAATTGCCTACTGTTGCTTGAAATTTTTCTATTTACCACTATTTGATATATAAAAAATGGTATGTCTTTCTTTCAGAAACCCCAAATCATTCACTGGCAATTTTGCCATCGACGAAGATATATTACAAGAGGCTGGTATTAACGATTTAACACCGTATGCTTGTGATCCAAGTAAGTGTTTGTATTAATTTTTCAAATTGTTGTGTGTTTTATAATACTAACTGTAGTATCATGTTATTCCATAAATATTTCACTGCAAATAAAGTACGGAATAATATAATTATTAACGTTTGATAAATTTACCTATGAATATCTAACGATGTTAAGAGGGGAGGTGGGCAATATTTTTTTCCAAACAAACGTTCTTGACTTCTTCCTTGATTTTTGTCACCAAAGAATTGATTTTAATACATAAAATATAATTTTATTCATTCTATGCTCCTATGTCTTCCTTTTTTCGTTTCAAAGAAACTAGTAACCCTCAAAATTGACAAAAATCATCAATTTTTCTTTACCAATAAAGACGTCTAGTGTGAAGATTTAATAAGCATTTACAGATAAAGCGAAACATAGAGGCATAGTGTAAGTACTTATTATTCTATAGGTAAATTTTCTTTTACAAATATCAAATTTTCATAGAGGAATTCGTCGAGAGCCAATCTTAGAATTTTGCAATTTTTATTCGCAGTTTCCAGCATTAACTACTGTGGTTCCTATCGCACCGTATTTGCCAATGCGTGACAGCAAAGCAATAGTTTTTTTTAAATACCTATTTCTCAAGTGCCTCTCTGCTTGCGTCCGCTCTTATCGATATTAGACATTTAATTTTAATGTCTCTAGAGTAGCATAAAAAATATTTTCAAAATGGAGGAAACTGTCATAACACTATTTACAATAAAACTAACAACTACATATAAATTTGCACATTGAAAATATCTAAGACTAGCACTTTACGTGACTTTTAATAGCTATCTGAAGTGTCAGTAGATAATTATATAAGCAGTAGATGCATTCATCATTCGCTTGCCATTTTTAGTTTTAAAACTGAATATGAATAAGATGGAATTTTCAAATTTGATGTACAGACATTGGTTGAGTTACCATAAAAAAGTGAGAAATTTCTCCATCAAAATTTTCATTAATGTTATTAAGTTCATATTCTTTTGGAAAAAATTAAGATTGTGGTAACTTTATGTGTGCCCAAGGCCAAGTTTTAATATAAAACCAAATTAACAAGCGCATTTATAGGGCTTCACCGTGTATTCTTGCATACTATACGCGAATGCGTATCTCAAAGTTGAAAAGTGACTGAAAATCATTCAAATTCATAAAACAGCCTCGTAACAGTTATTAGAGAGTAGCTAGTTTTTACTAGACCTAGTGATATTTAGTTCCTGCATCTGAAAGACATTATATACTAATTTCTAGCCGCCTGAGGTTTTCAATTGCGTCGCGCTCTTTTTTTTTTCTTTTGCATTGGTAATAACAATATTAAGAAAAATGAGCGTGAGGTATTTGAAAACCTTCGGCGGTCAGAAATAACAAAATAAAATCGAAAGCGTTAGCGTTTTCCAAAGCATTTCCGTTAGGCGGATGGCCCCCAGATCTCGCGATTGCCATTAGAGGCTAGCTTATTCTTTATTCTCGTTACCGCTTTCGGTCTTATGCTACGACCACACTGTCGTGCTATCTCGAACATTTTCCGTTTTCATGACAAGTCGGGCCAAGCAACAGTCACATTTCAGAACTCGGTCAGAAGTGTGACTATTGCTTGGTAAGATGCGTCGTGAAAACAGCAAATGTTCGCGATAGTGCAATAGTGTGACCTTAGCGTTAATGTGTTTTAGTTAGCTAGTTTTCACAGCCAATTACGCGCTTACTTTATTTTCTTTCTTGTCTTATAAATAAATAATAAATATTACCACTCACACCGATTAGACTAGCCCTAAAGTAAGCACTGTAGGCTTGTGTTATGGGATACTAGGGTAACGGATAGCATTAATATACTGATACATAAATAACTGCTGGGGCACAGGCCTTCCCTATGGAAGGAATAGGGAGATTGGGCCATGACCCACCACGCGGGCCCAGTGCGGATTGGTAATATTGATATATAAGTATGTTTTTATAGAAATACATATTAAACATAGATTGGAGTACCAATGATCGTATTCATCACACAAACATCTGCCCCCGCCGGGATTCGAACCCGGCACCTCTCGATTTGGCGACACCATGAAACCCGGCGTACACACTACTCGGCCACGTCAAAGTTATAAGATATAACATCGAAATTGCAATGACACGGGTGTTTTAGCTAGCTAGTTTTCACTGACGATTAGTCTTTTCTTTCTTGTGGTATAAGATATAAGATCGTAATTGCAATGACACGGTCAACTTTTGGCCTCAGAGAACGTGGATAACCTATTGATGGACGGCTTCCTGGACGACCCGCGCTCGGTGAGCGACCATATGAAACTGTCCAGCGGATTAGTACGCGGTTATCACACTTCCGCCGCTCGCTATAAGGAGGTTTGTCGCGTACACAATTCGATTCCTGACCCACAATAATCTAACTTTCTTTCAAACATTCCAATACAATAAGTTTGACTTTGGCTTAAATGTGTGTATACCAAGTTATGTATTAGTACGCGGTTATCACACTTTTGTCGCTATAAGGAGGTTTGTCGCGTTCACATATTACTGACCCCCCATAAGCTAATTTTCTTTCAAACATACCAATAGAATAAGGGAGACTTTTCTTAAAAGTACGATTAACCAGTTATGAATAAGTACGCGGTTACCACACTTTGTCGGTTTGTCGAACAAACACAATGTATGTACAGTCGCGGTATGAGAGGGCTTCAACAATTTTTTAACGTCTTCGACAGTTTTACTACTAATTCCCTGAAAATCCTGCGAGCACTTATAACTTTCGTAAAAACCAGACTGTTAAAGAAAATAAATTTAACTGTTCGATAACAAATCCAGGTTGTTGATATTTCTTTTGGCTAAGATTTTAATATTTAAAAAAAAAGTTAATTTGTTTAATGAACAAGAAACCCTTTGTTTTTATTATAGCTATTCTGTTTGTAACATGTTTTAAGAATAATGATCTTAACTATTGTCATATTTTGTTTGTAAGGTTACACTTTAATTAAAATGTTAGCAGCACTGTTTTCTGTGCTTGATATGTTGGCAAAATTGATTCTGGCACCAGTGCAAATGACCGCTGGAGTTAAGGTAACGAAACTTTTCATTTCGCGACTGTATATACATACAGTACAGACAGAAACATTCTGATGTAGCCTTTTTTTCTTTCACCTATCCTAACTAAACACTAAGAAGGGTCATTGGTCCAACAAGATGACCCTTTGGCCCAACATGATGGCCTTTTGGCCCAGCATGATGGCCCTTTAGCCCAGCATGATGGCTCAGAAGTTGACCCTATGTATAGAACGGCCATATAATGCATTTATCTGTTGGCTCCGCTTAACCAGCCAATAACATGTATTGTTTGAGTTTGAAGAGCTTTTTATATGTAACTCTTTCTTATTCCTTTGACGACTGGAGTTTATGCAAGCTTGGCAATCCGAGGCTATGCTGGCCTCGGATTGCCAAGCTTGCATAAACTCCAGTCGTCAAAGGAATAAGAAAGAGTTACATATATAAGAAGAATAGATATAATATAAATCTGTACCTCTTTCTACCTTGTAAATATGAGAATAGCACAAATGTTTGCAGCTATAATCCTATAACGGCGTTTGTGACAATTACTAATATGAGTTTAAATAGTCGCTTGTCGTTAAACCAACGGCGCATAGCTATTCTTTTGTTTCTTCATTAAGGTTAAAAAAATGACAATGCTGGATTCTAAATGAAATTTATCGAATTTCAAAGAGCAGATAAAACTTTTTTGCTTAACATCATGTGTCCTGTCTAGTGCAAACTAAACAATGATCTTGATTTTCATTGGCTTATTGCTAACGCAATGTCTCTCTCTCTCTCTCTCTCTTTCTAAGCGTACCTTTAAATTTAAATCTCTACACAAACAGGCGGTATTACAAACAAACCTTTTTTTATGGCATCTAAAATGCCATAAAAAATACAAGGCACTGATGTGCAGCTCATGAAAATCATCTTTCATATACTAAAAATACGATTATAATTGTGGTTTTTATCACTTACCATAAAACGTTGCCGCCATCGTCACATAAAATGATATTGGATTTGATTTGTCCACAGGTAATGTAAATAATCTGTTACTTGACTTCTTTTTGGATTTGCCCGGCCAAAAGGTAATACCGAACAAACAAGCCACTGGACAAGCAAAACAGGAAAAGGTGGACTACTGTTAAACAGACGTATAGCTATGAACGTTATAATAATAAAATTATTATCACTACTAATCCTAGTGCATGCTTCCATATAGAATTTACCAATGAACACACTTTTCGTCTGCTATATTTTTAATTGTTTTGACTGCAAAATTGATTTTACGAAATGACTGACTGACTGAAATTTGTTTATTTTTACTCCTGGCGACAAAAATTAAGATTTGTTTAATGCTCAAAACTGCAAAATTGATTTTACTAAATGACTAACTGACTTTGAAATTTGTTTTTTTTTACTCCTGGCGACAAAAATTCAGAATTGTTTAATGCTTAAAACTGCAAAATTGATTTTACTAAATGGCTAACTGACTTTGAAATTTTTATTTTTTTTTACTCCTGGCGACAAAAATTAAGATTTGTTTAATCTTAGTGATTACTATTATTTTTTTGTCATAATAAAATCATAATAGTCCATTCCTGTCTTGATCACTAGGTGGTATATTAGCAGTCTAATCCAACAAGGTACTGAAAAGGGCGATATAATTTAATGTTTATTACAACTAACCCTAGCTTAATGCATGTACCCGAGCTCTTTGACTACTATTAAGCATTTATATAAAATATAACAGAATTGTTAGCTATATTTATATATATATTTTTTAAATTGGTTGGAAAAACTAACTTTTTCATATTATTGTCACCGTACTAGTTGTTTTGGTACTGTCATTGCTTTCTGATGTCATGTCATTGATGACATTATCCAGAACTGGGTATAATATTTAACATGAAAGCAGAATTTGTTTATTTATTAAACTACAGTTTAATTTTTAGTCTGAATCAGCGCCCCCCGCGGGCGACGGTCAGATTCCACAGTTATTCACTGCCATCAGCAAGACCCTGTCTACGGAGCTAGTACAGAAAACGCAAGCCATCTACCAGTTCAACGTGAAAGGTGAGATATTCACTATTTAATTTATTTATTTAATCTTTAATGCTAAAGGCATTAAAGATAATGCAATGTAAAGCATTGCATATGGTGGACTTAATGCCAGCACGGCATTCTCTACCAGTCATCTGGAAAGAACGTGCAGAGTCAATAAAACGGCAGGCAATCATAGTATTTCTTATCAAACAAGCAAGCACACAACAAACAATGAGATATAATTTATACTATTAGACAACGATATAATTTATAATCGATATTTAAAGAAAATTTAACTAGAAAAAAATCCACGCGGACCAGTCAGCAGACGGGACTCGAACTCGCACCCTTCGCTATCCGAGCGAATGCACTGACCAATTACGCCACCGTGGCCCTAACGGCCGCGTCGAAATTCCTCTTGCCATTCTTAAGCTGCAAGGCAGCGCCATCTCTTCGCATTGTAGGTAACCCATAATGTCAAATGAATACTTTTAGAAGTATTAAACAATTGAAAGAAGAAATAGCAATTATACGTATAATTTTTGCTGCCTTGCAGCTTAACAATGGCTAGAGGAATTAAAACGCGGCCGTCAGGGCCGCGGTAGCATAATTGGTCAGTGTATTCGCCCGGATAGCGAAGGGTGCGGGTTCGAGTCCCGTCTTCTTTTTGATCCGCGTGAAATTTATTTTAGTTAAATTTTCTTTAGATTTAAACGTCAAGCAGTTATATGCTTAAAAAATAAAAATTAACAATATTTTATTATTTTAGCAGACATTGCCACAAAATGCAAGCTCTATAACCCCTTGGTTTTCCTCTTCTTATTTGAATTCCGCTGTACATCCAGGCTTCATTTACGCCTTAAATCAATTCTGAATAGTTTTTCTACAAACTCATCTATATATTTTATATGTGTTACCCAAAAAAATGGAAATAATTTTCTCTTACCCCTGGCAGAAATCATTCACGTACACACACGAGGAGTAAAGTGTATCATTAGCCCATTTGATTCCTGACTAGAACCATATTCCAATACAATAAGTTCGAATTTCGCATATAAGTACGTAAAAGAGATGTTATTTTTGTGCAAACGTAATTGAAGCGAATTATGTTATCGCCTTCCTAAAAATGTGACAAAAAATTTCATCTGTTATCCCCAACCGATTGAGATGAAATTTTGCAAATAGATTTAGTTTATCAAATATATACGAACACACGTTTAAACTTTGGTTTGCGTTTAATCGTGTTAATTATGGAGAATTAAAATAAAAGCTTGTTTTGAAATTTATTTTAACTTACAAAATTAACTTTTATTTATCTGTCATTTACTTAATTTAACAGTTAGGTTTTTTATAAAATAGATAGTATAAAAGTAAAATACAAAAACATAAATACAAAAATAAATATAGTATAAAAAACATAACCAAGAAGGCCACCAGCAGCGGGACTAGGCAAGCTACCGGTGGTTAGGGCCGCAGAGAAAGAAACCGCCTGACGATGCGCGCTGTGTCCAGGAGTGCTGCCTTTTGCATTTCTATTTATTATTGTTTATTTGACAGGTAAAGAGGAAGGCGTATGGCACTTGGACCTGAAGAACGGCGAAGGCGCGTGCGGCCAGGGCGAGCCCAAGAGTCCCCCGGACGCGACCCTCACCATGGACAGCAAGAATTTCACCGACATGTTCGCTGGTAAGGATAAATGCACTGACAGTCTACAATATAAACAAACATAAATAACACTCGCATTAAATTGACAACTCTCCAATACTTGGATTAGGTCCAAGCCCAAGAGTCCTCCGGACGGAAGGAATTTTACCGGTCTATTCTCTATGTCTACAATTACTAGTATCGATTTACGTACCTATTTCAACACCAAAAAAAAATATGTAACGGACCACACATATGAAGTGAAACTTCTTTTCTTAAATAACTTAACATTAGGCGGTGTATAAGGCATAGGGGAATGGAGCAGCGCACGCATCACTCATATATATATATATATATATATATGGAAAAGATGAAACGGAAATAAGTCACGATGTGTATCAAAAAGTCAACTGAACTGTCAGATCCTCTGCTCATATTTTGGATTTAAAAATTATTATTATGGCCCATAAATGGTAAAAAATACCATATTTTTGCAGCCCAAATTTTACTTTATGACCCCGCATGTGGGCAACCTGAGTGCTGATGTATTTGCCTGGAATGTGTTTACATAAAGTCTGCTATTTTGTTGACATTTCCCCGAACAAATTGTGTTACTAAGGACGCCTTGGACATCCACGCCTGTTGCTAGGTACCCGCTACTACTCAGCCAATAGGAGGCTTGATTTGCTCCGGCGGCCTAGCAACCTTGACGGACCTAGGTAACGACGCATGCGTCTTGGAAGCAGCTGTCATATAGACTTTGACTTTTTATGTTTACATTTTAAGTTTCATTAGTAGTGTACATTTTAAGTTACTTTTTGTGTTTTTAAACCTGTTTTAAGTTATTATTTATTTTTGAATGTATTTAACTGAAGCGGAGAGCTAGTGGAATGAAAAATGTAGGCTAGGATTTAGGACGCAATGGGTTTATTAACACGATTTTAAACACAAACAATATTTAAGCTGATGACAAGCAAAGACTATGACACACAATAACAATTTTGATAGCAAAATCATAAAAATGTCAATACTTTAAAAACACTTCAAAAAACCATAAAAACTAAATCTATAAAAGAGGTTGGCAACATCCCCACCCCTTGTGCATGAATGTGCACAATAATCTAGCCAAGATTAAGTTTTATTACTTTTCGGCAGGGGCGACGAAGAACGCCACCTGCTGTCGCAACGTCCACTACTCTCACAATCCCGTCCTTGCCAGGATGTAATGCCGAGACACGTCCCCGCGGCCATGTTCCTCGCGGTAGGGTCTCGTCGACGATCAGCACCAGGTCACCTAACTCAAACCCTGTCGTAGGATTTCCTGGTTCACGAGGTTGTAGGGTTGGTAGGACTTGGCGTACCCAACGGTTCCAGAACATGTCTGCAAGTCTCAAAGCCTTTCGGTATTCTGAACGTCCACACAAGTCTCTGTCAGTTAAAGTGGCTGGTAGGATCTGTGGAGATGATGTGCCAATTAAAAAGTGGAATGGCGTCAGGGATTCTTCGTCATCAGGGTTGACGGATACGTGGGTTAAAGGTCGGGAAT